CACTTATAATCAACGTAGAGAAATGCGTCTTGCGTAAACATGAGGTAAATTTTCTGGGATATACCCAGATATGCAGCAGGATATTCTCCTTTACCAAACGAGTAGAGAAAATCATAAATTATCCACAACCTTCTACAGTACTGGAACTCCGAAGATTTTTGGGCAAACTACTATTGCAAATCAATACCACAATCAGCTAAAATTCAAGGACTACTTTATGATTATTTGAAATCTCCAGTGAAAAATGATAAGGCTCCTATCATATGGAATGACAACCTACAATTAGCTTTCAATAAACTTAAGGAAGCTCTAGCAAATGCAGCTTTTCTGCATTATCCTGCAGGTATAGCTAACATTAATTTAATAACGGATTCATCAACCACGGCTATATGAGCTGCATTAGAACAAGAAGATAATGGTGTCTGGCATCCAATAGGCTTTTTTTTTTGAAAACTTACATCTACAAAATAGAGATACTTTACATATGACCGGGAACTTTTAGCCATTTTTGCTGCAATCAGATACTTTGAATATCTTGAAAACTGATCACAAACCAATTACATATGCTTTTCAACAGAAACTGGAAATGGCTCAGATCGAAAGCAGCTAGAATACATTTCACAGTTTTCCACTGATATCATATATGTAAAAGGTAAACAAAACGTGGTTGCAGATTCCTTGCCAAGGATCAATTTCATTCAAATGCCTACAAAGTTGACAGCAGAAGAAATTTCCCAAGAGCAGAGCAAGGATGTTGAGATGCAGACTATATTAAATGGCAATACTTCTCTGAACTTACACAAATTGACATTAAATTATGTAGTTTACTGCAACATTCAAGATAATTTTATGAAGCTCTATCTTTCGCAAAGTCTTCGCAGAATTGCCTTTAAGATAGTACATGGAAATTCACTATGCATGGAAAGCACTGGGATTACTTCAAAAAAGTTTCTAAGAAAATATGTGTGGCCTGGGATTGGAAAAAATGTCATAATGTCGACCCGCCACTGCATTCTTTGTCAAAAATCCAAAATCCATTACAATCACCTCACTCCTATTCATATTCCTATTCCTGAAAACAGATTCTCTCATATCCATTTTGACATAATTATATTACCTAATATTAATAGATTTTCTTATTGCCTTACTATCATTGACAGGTTTACAGATGGCCAGAAGCCATACTTATCAAGGACATTTCTGCAGACACTATTGTACAGACCTTATTTTCAAATTGAATATCGAGTATTTGTATACCTTGTGTGATAATATCTAATCAAGGAAGCCAATTCGAATCCGCTATATTCAAATCATTAACTCAAGCATCAGGTGCTGAGAAACTGCGAACAACGGCATACTGCTTACAATCCAATGGTTTGATTGAACGCTGGTATAGAACCCTGAAGGCAGCTTTAATGCGTTCCCCTGAGCACTGGATCTATTTATTACCTGTAGTCTTACTAGGTTTACGTGCTTCATACAAGGAAGATCTAAAATCATCTCCTGCTGAGAAGGTATATGGAACCACTTTAAGACTACCAGGCGATTTCTTCACATCTCAAGAACTGCCATCCGATCCACAAGTTTTTCTGGACTTTCACAGGGAAGCCAACGACCACTGCTCACCATAATAAAACCAAAATGTTTTTACTGAAGGACATGGATACATGCACTCATGTATTTGTCAGAGCAGATCCGTTACTCATACCTCTTGAGCCTCCATATAGCGGAACATATAAAATTCTAGAAAGGTTTTCAGGTAGAGTGTACAGAGTGTAAATTTCTATAGACAGCATTAAAAAACATATTGGGTGACAGATTGAAACCAACATATACAATTAAAACAGATAATAAAATTGAACCAAGCATAGCACAAGAATTTAAACCACATCACTAGGGATCCTCCAAGAAAGACTTACACCAAAAAGGTCTCCTTCAAATTATGAACAAATAAATTTATTTATTCTTACAGATACTACACTATACTTCTCCTTACATTTTCGGAAAACACGGCGAATACACTTTTTTTGTCATTAAAAACAAGAGACTATTCCAAACGAAATTGCAAGAATCTGCTACGATAAAGAATTCAAGTATCTGCATTTTGGAGTACTTTACAACTACAAAAAATAAGAAAATATTTGCATTTTGAACAATTTTACGACCAACAATAAAAACGTGGCCACCTTCTGTTCGCAGCACCCTATATATTTATATATATATATATATATATATATATATATATATATATATATATATATATATTTATATATATATATATATACATATATATATATATATATATATATATATATATATATATATATATATGCATATGAAGTGGTGGAACTATAAAAAGAGTGCGCGTGAGGTTCACACGCGGTTGAAGTAAAATTCTTTTGCTATTGTACGAGATGGCATTTAAGTTAAAAATAAATATATCATATAACAATTTTGAATAATGTTCATCAGTAATATGGTAACACTCGTGATGCACACATCATTTAATGTCAACCATTATACATATTTACATAATAATAAATTCTAAATTTATAATAGCATTAAAAATATTTATAAAATTTGAAAACAATAATGCAATTAAAGTCATACGACATGATTCGTTTGTCATTGGAATTAGCATCTAGGACTTGAAATTTCATTAGAGAAACAAAGTAATTGCTGATTAATAAATTCTATAATATTCGTTCACACAGTGGACAGCTGTAATATAACAATCTTGAATAATTTCATTAACACTAGCAATAAATAAACTGCATAGATATTCGTTATAAAGTATATATGTATATAAATGATATACAGCTACACAAACTACTGTTGTGCTTTATCTCCTGTTTATAGTAATAAATCTAAATATCCATTCATTTTTCATCATTTATAAAAATATGCAACTTTGTAACACTTAATAGCCGTCTAAAAAGTTTCTGAGATATAATTCTAAGAAAGATATATTTTCGACATGTTGAAATAAAGCTGTACTGCTTTAATATTTTTTAATATCTTTAAAAATGCAGAGGTTTATTATGTTAAACAACGCCTAAATATATATTATTTTCATAATTTCACTTGTCATGTAATTGTGTTCGAAGAACTTCATGTAAATAAAATTAACATACAATCATTATTGATTGCTCATTTTTTTAATTTTTTGCTGGCGATACAGTTTCATTCTTTGTACAGTTGTAGTATCTGTCTTGCATATAAAAATAATTTTTATTTCAGTAACCTCAAAAATATACAATAATATATAGTAACCACGAATAATACAAATTACTTCAATAAACTTACGTTTCTTATACGGCATAGATTGTTCATTTTTATTATTCTTTGCACTATAATTATTTATGGGGGACGGGATAAAATATTCTTCTGATTCAGACATTTTTTATTAACTCAAGATTTGTACTAATATTTAACCTTGAAATGTAATGACATAAAACACCGAATAATGAATAATATACTGCGCGCTTTCGGTGACGTACGCGCGTATAAAGTCACGCATATAAAGAAGACGACCAATCAGAATCGACCCATATAGAAATAATCTCATCTAAAGCGAACGACAAATCTTTGGCACTCGACCTTGCCGTAACTCACTTCCGTTGCATTTGTACGGATTTACACCCATGTCGCGCCTAAAGAAGTTTTACTTCAAAAATCACAAAAAATTGGAATGATGAGTCGCGTTTCTAGGGCAGTCACTAACTAATAATAATACAATCACATATATTATAAGTTTGTTCTATAGGTAGTAATCATTAAATATTATTAACTTCCCGTAGGGTAAGTTATAGTAATCGCAAAAAAATCGAAAATGAAAATTTTTATATATCTTTACGTTTCAGAGGTTTCTGAACATTTTGGCATACCTTAGAAAAAATGGATGTATGTGTGTGTGTGTGTGTGTGTATGTGTGTGTGTGTGTGTGTATGTATGTATGTATGTGTGTGTATGTATGTGCGGATACAAATTTTCGTCGACGATTTCGGGAACACGGATCAACCGATTTGAATAAATCAAAAAACATTCGATTCGTATTGATAAGGAGACGTGCTGATTAGTTTTTGGCGAAGGCAGGTCTAGCCGTTCCGGAGATACGGGGCAAAAAGTGCCGAAAACGGTAAGTCAGGTTTTAAGAGAACGGAGCGTCCGATTTTAATAATTCAAAAAACATTTTACTTGTATTGACAAGATAAAGAATTGATCAAATTTTCATAAAGGCAGGTCTAGCGGTTTCGGAGATCTAACGAAAAAAGTAAAAAAAATGCCATTTGGCGGTCAAAAATGATCATTAGACATATGCACATCAAATTTTCAGATATTTTATAGAGATTTTAACAATAAGTTTAAATTTTGTTTATTTTTCTATGGGTTCCGTACCAATGTTTACCCGTTAGACAGCGACGCCGCGCTTACGGGCTTTATATTTTGTCTCTATGCAGTTAAAGCAGTACGATTGCTTTGAAAAACAAGTTCAGATCTTCCAAAATATGTCAAAATAAAGAAAACATTTTTTTTCAAAAAAAAAAAAAATAAAAAAAAATTTTTTTTAAAAAAAAATTTAAAAAAAAAATTTTTTTTTTTCAAAAAAAGTAATTTTTTGTCCAATTTATAGTTTCTCAAAAATCTTATTTTTTCGAAGTAAATTTTTTTCAAAAATGTTAATCGTTTTTAAAAAAAATAATAATTTTTGGTACGGGAAGTTCCAGCAATTTGCCTTAAGGCACGATGCCCTAATTGCCTTAAGACAGAATTCCACTTACAGCTAGTTTTTATTGATTAAGTCGATTACTTATGTGTATACAATTACAATTAAGAACTTGTTTAGTCGTACAATTCTGAAAACCTTACTAGTTATTCAGTTTGAATGTAAGACTTTTTATAATGATACGTGATTTGTTTCTTATATTAGTTTTAATTACATTTAACCGGTCTATTGATTTATTGTTTAATTATATTGTTGTTTTTTTTTCAATTTCTAGTATGTACTCGCGCGCTGCTTGTGTGAGGAGGGTTGTGGGTTCAAGACGCATCTCTGGACCACCTGATATCGTGCAGTAGCGATGTCCATTTTCAATTGAAAATATAGATCAAAAATATATTTTAAATTTTCGACACTGCGGTGCGCAATGGCAATAGAAAATTTCTCATACTATTCTTCCTAAATGGAGTTCAACTCATCTCACGGACCTGCTATCTGTTATTTAATACTGAAATGATGATTAACTATCATTTATAAAATACTTTTTTATATTATTTTATATCAGAGGGTGCGGTCTTAAATAGTATTATCGTTCACTATTAGCAACTAGTATTAGTTTACTATTATAACTACTATTAGTACTGGTATTATTTACAACAGTTTTTTAAATATTGCATTTTATTTTTCTATTTTTTGTTTAGATTTCCAATGAAGTAATCTGAGCGTAAAAATTTTTTCTTTGTATTTTTTGGGTCGATACAATTCAACACCATTGTAGCACGTCAAAGTTTTCCAGAAAATGAAATCCGTAACAATGAACGATGTTAGTCGGATTAGATGTAAGCTGCTCTCCTTCGTTTAGGAACTTTGTAATTCAATAAGAGTAAAGTGCTTTGATACCATGGCATATATATATATATATATATATATATATATATATATATATATATATCTTTAGATTTGTTTGTTTGACTTTATACGGCAATCTTGTTCTTCACTTCATATTAGTTATCAAGCAATTATTAACCACTTTAAAGTTGCAACTTCTCTTCAGTACATAATATATCCTATCATGTTACGCACTGCTCTGGTTTCAAATATTGCTTTGTTTGTACCTTCTGTCAGTATATCTATTATTCAGTAAACGCATAGTTTGGCATTTCTTAGTTGACTTGTTAGTAAAGTTGTTAGTTAGTTTCTATGTAATTTTTATTACTAAATTTTTTATTAAAGCTCTAAATTTATATACCCTTAGTATAGGTTTTCAAGCACAGAAAAATTAATAAAAATTATTGAAGTAAAACTTCTTTAGGCGCAACTATGGTGTGAATCCGCACAAATGCAACGGAAGTCCGTTACGCCCGAACTGTTTATCATTTGCTCTCGATGAGATCATTTTTATACGGGTCGATTGTGATAAGACGTCGTGTATGTGAATAGAGATTTGTCGTTGTATATATTGGCATCAACGTTGTATGCGTTTCGATATCGACAAGGAAATCGGCATAGATAAATAAACATTTTACAGTTACATCATAGTACAGATCTTGATTTAATGATCAATGCCTGAATTAGAAGAATGTTTTACCATGTCCCTTGAAAATAATAAAACAAATTAAACATTTGGACCGTGTACTGAACGTAACTTTATTGATTAGAAATTATTTCTATATTATTCGTACTTTCTATAAATCTTTAAAGTTATTAAAATGGAAAATATGTTTTAGGCAAGACAGATATTACAGCTGTTCAAAGAATGAGATTATATTGCCCGAGAAGAAGTAAAAAAAAATACAAGCAGTCAATGAATGTGCGTTAATTTTAATCATATGAAGTTTTTCAAACATAATTTCATGATGAGTGAAGTTGCGAAAACAATATTTGTTTAGGCGTTGTTTAACATAATCCACTGTGTGAACAAATATTATAGAATTTATTAATCAGCAATTACTTCATTTCTTTAATAAAGGTTCATTTCTGAATGCTAATTTCAATGACAAACCGATCATGTCATATTTGAAGTATGAATTTAATTACATTATTGTTTTTAAATATTATACATATTTTTGATGCTATTATAAATATATAATTTATAATTTATCATTATATAAATGTGCATAATGATTGACACTAATAAATATGTGCATCATAAGTGTTACGATATTACTAATAAACATTATTCAAGATCGTTATATGATGTGTTTATTTTTACTTAAATGCCACCTTGTACAGTAGCAAATAAGTTTCACTTCAATCGCGTGTGAACCTTTCGCGCACTCTTTTTTTCAAATAATTAACTTCTCGTATAGTGTGTTATAGTAATTGCCAAGAATGAGAAATGACAATCTTTGCATATCTTTACGTTTCAAGGTTAACTATGGATACAATTTTTCGTCCACGATTTTGAGAACACGGATCATCCGGTTTGAATGATTAAAAATCATCCAATTTCTGTTGATGGGGCGATGTGCTCATTAGTGTTTGAAAAATACTATTTCAAGCGTTTCCAGGATACGGGGCAAAAAGTGTAGAAAATAAGAATTTAATTTTAGCGAGAACAGATTAGACAGGTAAACTGATGAACAAGTGGAAAGGTAAACGAGTGGTAGACAAGTTGCAACATAGACAGGTAAACAAGTAGCCTTTTAGACAGGTAGATTATCTTATATATAAAAATGGAGCTCTCGATCAAATGATTCGGAAAAACTCGAAAACGGCTAAACCGATTTGGCCAGTCTTAGTCTTAAAAAATTCGTGCCCATGCAGAGATGGTTGAAAAGGTGAGATAATATTTCAAAATCGCGTAGAAACTTTACATTTTTAATTTGAAAATTTTTGTAGAAGCGTAAATTAAATAAAACTATGGACGGTGGCTATAACGTGAAATGTCAAACGATTTTGACAGATGATGCTCAATTACGTTTAATATGATGTTTTACGTGAATATTATTCAATTATGATTAAATTGTAGTAACTAGTTTTGTTTGTAGTTTTATTTATATACAAAAACGTTAGTAAACGGGCCGCAAGTGTTACTTGAGACTCAAAATATCAACTTTTTTAAAATGTTAATATGAAAATGCATTTTTTTGGCATATTTTTTTCAAATACGGTGCTCTGAAAGATTTCATTTGTATAATTATATACTCATTTTCTAGGTTATATTATTTTTTAATCATGTTATTCAAATTCAGAACCTAAATTTGGTATCGATCAAATGGACATTTTGTCGAAAAAAATTTTCCCAGTTATAATTTCCCAGAATTTATCGAAAAAGATAGTATTATATGAAGGTCCGGGGTTAAGAAGGTTCACTACCGATGTGTCAAAAATCAGTAAAGTTAAGCATTGTTTAACAACAATATTTAAAAGTAGAGTAAAAAAGATGTATAACCAGCTACAACCTTGATTTAAAAACGGTTTTAATCTTTGAAATGGCGGAGATAAACGGTAAACTTTGAAAATCTATAATAAAAGTATTTTTTTCCGTTGGTAGTTTTTTAGCATTAGTTAAAAATGTAATTATTTTGTAAAATACCTTTAAAACTATAATAAGGCTTTAAACCATTTTGCCACCTGCCCGTTTATAGGGTAAACAGATCTAGATAACAAATTTTTTAAAGACATCAAAAAAGCACACTTCTACAATGCTGAAGTAGAAGGCAGTTTACTGAACTCAGATAATTGCTCGTTTGATATGTGTTATTTGTTGTGATATAATTGTTATGGTTTTCACAATATAGTTCATATTTGCTCAAAGTCAAATTGGACCTTTGTGCCTCGCCCTGTTCTACATATATACTTTTTATCAAATTTACTTTAATTTATCGAATGTTACTTGAAACTTTTCAAAAAGCAGGTAAAAAAAGTAATACTTAATTTATTTTCTATCTCTCCCCGCAAAAATTTAAAAATTTTGTATAAGCTCAGTAGTATTATTTACAATTATACACAAAATCCAAAATCCAAAATCCAAAAAGAATTTGAAAAACTTGAAACGTAATCAATAAGTCGAAAGACCAAAAAATCCTTGGATTGGATTACACCGTGTTTTCTATAGAAAGTGTATAAAACTTCCAGTTCGATTGTATTGACAAAATATAGACAAACTAATGGGGTTTCTTGTTTTTATAATACCTCATTGTATATAGCATTCAAGCAACACATCCTTATACACTTCAAGTATTAATATTTTTGATTCTCTAGAAATTGTTCAGGATATACCTAACTTAGCAAAGCAACGTTTGCCGGGTCAGTTAGTAAATTTATAAAAATTCAAAACTCAAAACAGATATTCAAGAAAATCAATAATTGATATAATAACAATATTTTGCTTTTATTCTAAATTAATTATATAATTTAAAACTACAATGAGTAGCTCACATGAATTACTTTTGTCATTGCGCTGATCAACATTGGCGAATTATGAAAGTCATCTGGATTGAGGAGTATTTTCTTTCAGATCATTTTGTCAATAAAATCATATATTGAAAATCAAATATGTATTTATTTTAATCAGAGACATTTAGTTTAAAAGGTGACATTTGTTTTGATTATACATGCGGTATGTCATTCGGTAGCTAACTTCTAGAAATTTTTAGAGAGTTTTGCGTACAAGAATTTCACAAAAAGGGTATTTCAGCGACTGCAGCAAGTATGATTTTATGCAATATTTGACAGAATTGTCATTTAAATGACGCGCCAAGTCTTAACTTCATTGATAAATGGTTCCCGAAGTTTGAAGAGACCTGTTCAACGCTGGAAAATCAAAATCCTTACGTGCAACAATCGAAAATGTAGACAGTGCTTCTCAGTCAGTACATGTTCAGACATTGTTACAGTGAACTCGAATTATTACATGGAGATGTTAGACAACTTCTTCGTGCCTGAACTGCAAAACTTTCCTAGTTATATCCAAAGAACATAGTTTCAGGTAGAGAGAGCTACTTCACATGCAACCAACAGGTGTTCATCATGAGTTTGTGAAAAAAATTCTTGCAAGTTTATATTCAGGAGAACTGATTTAAATTGGCCTCCTCGTTTAGTCCTGATTTAACCCCAACAGAATTTTTCCTGTGTTGGTTACGTCAAATTTAAAGTTTATGCCAACAAACCAACTTCCCTGGCACAATTAGAAGGAAATATCCGCCACAAAATAACAGCTGTCAAGTACAAGACATGCCAAGCTTATGGCAATTTCAGAAATCGATTAAATAATTGCAATGGTTTACATTTGGACGGTATTACTTTCAAGAAATAGCTTTCCTGGAAGTGCATTTTGAGATGTAATAAATATTTGATTTAGTCAAGGTTTAATAATTAAATCATTTTTGATCAAAGTTGATATTTATTAGCTAATTCGCAGATCAAATAGGTGTTATGGTGATGCTATGTAACGTGTCTATAATTGTATGAGTTGGTAGTCACAAACTGTCAGAAGTTATGTATTTGCTGTGCGATTTACACATGTAACCTTTATTTA